GGAGTGTACTTGGTGCTACTTTTTCATATCACTTCTTTTGTAACGTAGGTTTTTTAGAAATAAAATGTTTTATATTAAAAATAAAATACATTTTTTAATAAATACTAGTTTGAGTTTAGAATTTTAATTTAAAGTATTACGTGTTGTGCGTGTCCTTGGCGCACTTTTTTACCTTTTTTTAAAAAGGTAAGTTTTTTTCGGATAAAAATGACACTAACGCGTTATAAACCCGAAAAACATCTTTGAATGTTAACAGAACACACCGCGAAAGCATCAAATATTAGTTGGATGTTTAGAGTAAGCTTCTTTGGCTCTACAAAGAGACAAAGGATACACTGCTCGACAGATATCAGACAAACAAGAGGCAGATTGCGAAGGAGATTTTGCGATGTATTCTAAGCTGCCGCTGAATGTACTTGCAATAACTTCTCACTAACATAACTGCAACAAGCTACATAGAACGAGTTAGTGGTGTTTTGTACGTGTAATATTCGCACACAAGAATGTATTGCTCGTAGCAGATGTTTCTGCATTGTTTTTTGCATTAAATACCAAAGTGCTCTTTTATGGTCATGTTTATATAATTCAAGATATGAAGAATCTCGCGCATTGTTGTTCTTCGAAATTTGACATTGTGAAGCAATTCCTTACTTTTTGTTGATCAGATCCATCAAAATGTTTGTTAAATAGTATGCTGTTGTTAGTTGTAACTTAAGTAATCGTGTTGAAATCAGACACAACCGTTTCCAAGAGCAATTCTCTGATGCAGCATCAATTTCAATTCCATTTTGAAGAGGATCCGACCGATTCGATTTCCGTCTGTTTGCTTCGATTTGATATAAATCAAATTCTATTTAGAAGAACTACCCGATATGCGCGATAAATAATAGGAAAGAATAATTGTTCCTTCAAGCCGGCTTTCATTTTTGCTCATTTTGATTTTTTCTCCCGGTCACAGAAAAGTCGATATTATTTTTCAGAACGTTGTGCTTAACTAATGAGTGGAAATAAAAACAAACAGATAAAATGTCTTCGTGAACGGCATCATAAAAGAAAAGAGTACATCGTAAAGCAAACAAAGAGAAAATATCTTCCGCAAAGAGAAAAAAAATATTTTCCAGACTCGCTACGTGATCGCACTTGTGGGAATTTATCGACCAAAAAAGAATGCAACAACGAACGTAGTCGTGGGAGAATATTGAATTCTCACACGTTACACACGCCATTATTTCAATCAGATATTTCACAGAACAACCCACAAAAGAAAAGAAAATTTAAAATTGCCAATAAATAAATGATGTAATAATTTCCAAATTTTTATATTACCGTTTTTATGCGTTGTAAAAACCTGTTGCATAAGTAATAAATATATGATTATTTGCAATATTAGAGTTACATTACATTTAATTGTTTTGCTTGTATTGTATCTGTTGGACAGGTATTCGACAAACATAATCGCGGATACATCACTGCGTCAGATCTTCGAGCGGTATTGCAATGTTTGGGAGAGGATCTTTCTGAAGAAGAAAGTAAGTATATCAAATGTGTGTGTGTGTGTGGATGTGTGTTAACGCATTCGCACACTACGAATAATCTTCTATGACGAACATGACAGGCTTATTATTATATATTATATAACAGAATATATATGATATTATTATATATTATATAACAGAATATATATGATTTTACGCATTAAGAGGATGCTGAACCGTCCTGTTATACCGACGGGATATGTCATTTTAGTAGATCGGACTAATCTCATTATTTACTGTATCAAATGAAAAACGCTTTTCCAGAAGTAAAGGACGTAAAGAAACACTTATCGGTCTGGTGCTTTTTGGTCTAAAAAGTACTAAAAGTTACATTCTCCTATTATCACTTGATCATATTTTGCTATTTTTAAACAATTTTTAAACATTGTATAAATATACAGGCACAGAGCGATAAGCGGATGATATAAAAGAATATAATGGAACAATCAGAATGTGATTTTATTGTCTAGTTTACGAGAATAGTTAGTTCTTCTAATGAAGCACATACGATAGTAGGCAAAATACGCACACAAGCAGACAGTCACGTACGTGTGCATATCCCCATTACTATCAGACGGGCGAATCGAACGAAAGACAAGAAAAGAGATATACGTCTATCCTTGTATAGAGAGCACCACCTACTGGATAGCGTAGCAGCAAAGCAGCTGTTAAGCCGCTGGTTCAGTATCCTCTTAAGGTGTTCTTCGAAAAAACACTAAATACACTTGAATAATATAAGGTAATTAGTTAAAAAGTGGCCTACCTCAAAGATTTTAATGACTTTGAAATATATTGTTAAGGACGTCATTCTGACAGGATAGTGTCTAGTTAAAAAGATAAAAGTTAAGTTAGAAAGTTAAAAAGTTAAATAATTTTAACTTAACTTAGTTACATTTGTAGACTCTTGACTTTTAATTTAATTTAGTTATATTTTATTGTTAACGATTAACTCTTTATTTAATTCTCTTGCAGTTAGCCATGCTATAAGGTTTTGATTTTCGCAAAATTATTCGCGTACAGATTATGTTTTGTGTAAGTGATCGTATATTTGTAGATTGAAGAAATTGACTAATTACAAAGCTCAGAATGGCCTGTTTTACATACGAGACAATTCGTAAAATTGAGTCGATAAACGCTAGTTGTGAAATCCGCAATTTACGTGAAACGCAATTTACGTGATTGTCAGTGTTCACAGTTTTGAGACGTTTATAGGATGCGTTTGGTTCGCGATTGATTTGTTATCCTGTTGCCTTATTATCTTAACTTGCACTGCAAACATTCCGCCTCTCGCCGTTCGGTTTGGAGCTAGTCGGCCCGGATTTCTTGAGGCGTTTCTTTACTTGATACGTTCCGCACTTATCTGACGCCCATACTGACATCTAATTTGTAATGATCTCGAGAATCCGGTAGATTCACGCGGTGGGACGCGTGCGACTGCGTCCACGTTATCTACCGCTTTTTTTCCAGCGGCGTATTGTCAAAAATACGTCGCAGAGAAAATTTGACGCTTTCTCGCTTTAAACGCTTAAAAGCAAAGTTCACGTCGGTCACTTTGGCATTATAAGTGTTTATAAAGAGCAAACTGACGTTGATTAAGTTATATTTCTCGCCTACAATCATTTATTCTGCCGAAATAGAGCAGTTAGAGGGTGAGCACTTTATTTCAAAAGAAAGAATTTTTAGCTAGATAACAAAATAGCTCTAGTTCTCATATCTGCTCACTTTACTCACGTTGCCAAAACGAACGATTTATATAAGCGCTAGTGAGCGTTTAAACGCTAAAGGGAACAAGTACACAAAACGCTCATAAAAGTTAACGTTTAAAGCGAAAAAGCGCCCAAACCGAACATATCTATAGCAGGGTAAGTTCCATATACGCACAAAATAAAAAACGGACACAGCAGGAACTCAGTCGTATTAGAAATACCAAAATGTAAAGTTTAGTATTCCTAAAATCTATGTTTTCAATTTCTAGTGCACATCGCAAACTAACAATCTGACGACATTTTGTCATTAAGAAAAGTTGCATTTGTCTAGCACAACCTGGCACAAGTAAAGACAATTCGGAAATAATAAATTTTGTTCACCCTCATTTGTGTTTTACTAAGTTTGTAGTCAAACTTTACAATTATTTATATTTCTTTGTCAGTTTATTTTTTCTAAGCGGTAATACAACAACACAAGTTATAGAAAGTCAAGATATGCTATGCAGAATGATGTTAGTAGTCCGATATGTGATGCTGATGAAATACTTATGTATTGGCAACTTGTTTTTTATAAAGTTTTTAGCTAATCAGAATAAGATAACAAAAAGTGCTTAATGGCAAATCATACCACAAGTTTGTACGAGTCTGTTGAAAAAAATGAGCCCAATTGCGACAAAGTGCGGAGCTAGTAAAAAATGGTTTTTTTAATTTTCTCGAATATGGCTTAATATAGTGAGCCGCACCAAGTGGCACAACTCTAGCACAATACAGCACAATCAATAAAACTTCAAAATTCAAAAAGTGCAGGGCTAAAAAATATTTTGTTTTTTTAATTTTTTAAAATATTGTTTAAAATATTAAGCTGCGATGTGCGGTACAAATCGGCATAAACGTAGCACAATACGGCACAATTATTAAAAATACAAAATTCAAAAAATGCGGGACCAAATTTACACACTTGATGATCTTTATAATATGTATGAAACAGAATATCATTGGAGCAACTTTTCTAAAAAACGAAAGTTTTTCAAAACTCTATATAAATGATAAAGAATTCTTAGTCTCTTCAAAATGAAGCTGGAATTTTAATCAGAACTATAAAAATTTAATATTGGAGTACGGTCTACGTCCCTCTTTGTGCGCTTTCCCACCTAAGCATGTACTTTCCAAGCTTATCGTAATTTTTATTTATTCTATACTTAACATTTATATATAAGACACAATACATCTAAAATATCATATATTATGTGTAAACTATATGTATATCCAATGAATTGAGAAACGATGGTTCATTAATAAAACTTTTTTTGTCTATAATTTGCTAACAAAATACGAGCAACAGCTAAACCTTTTTAAGTGTTACTCAGGGATATGTCTTTAACAACTCATATATGTTAAGGTCATTGAAATCGGTGAGGTTGCTCTTAATATGTTAATTTACCTAAATTTCTATCAATTGGCTGTGTTTAAATTAAAAATTCTACTTAAGATTTACATTATCGATAAGAAGTACATTGCCAATCAAAATTACATTTGTGAAAGTGACGCGCATCTACAAGTGTTATTTCGAATGCGTTTAACTTAACGCATTTTTGCAATTTTTTTTGAAAGTGAGAAAATTTTACTTATTTATAAGTAAAGTTTCAAAATAAAGAGACTTGCTTGCTAATAATGTAATTAAAAGTACTGTTCTATTTTATCACTTTGTCTTGCAATAAACATTAATCGGATTTCCTTTTATGCACACAAATTATAAATTTGTCAGAAAGTATGGTATTTTTTTTGTTTAATCTCGAGTTAGTTTTTTTTTTTGCTCTAGAATATTATTTATACACTTAAGTTTATTATTATTCTACCGCTTTTATTATTCTACCAAATCGGAAAATTTCGACTCTCTCAGGAAAGAGTCGTACATGATGACGCACGTCTATTCACGTAAATCTAGATCGCTTTACTTTCAATTCACATTGATTATTTTTCCGAAATCTTGATTGAAATAAGAAAAAAATCAGCTTTTTATTAGTATTTGCGCTACTTAAGTGTTTGCACAAATATTAATAAAGCAGAACTGACAATGAATTCAATTAAGTTATAAACGTTCTGTCGCATGACACAAAATTCGTCAATATCGATTACGTAAATTATCTCACAAACGAAATTTTCATTTTTGATTATCAATACAAATTATGACAACTTCTATTCATTTGTCAGACTTTAATTTAATATTAGTTTTTAAATTAATAATATTGTATAAACATA